TAGTTTCTTGCTGCCAACAACATAAGTTTCAGATTACTATTAGGTATAATAGCTTGTCTATCCAACGTTTTCCTTAGACATGTACTTATATTATATTTTAGCCTAACCAATTTAACCCTAGAGCCAATTAAAACATTAGCTACCTACCCCTAAGCTCATTAAATCATCTCCCTAAGCCAATTAGTGGATTATTGTTAATCCTAATACCCTCTACAAAATTGCAAATAACTAAAAAATTATTTTCTATAGAATCTGTTACAAAATGTAGAGTGTGGTGTTCTGACCAATGATATAAATTCAATTGTACAAAGTGGCAATTCTATTACTATAATTTATAAATAATATTAAAAAGTCAGTTTCACTCAAATTATGACTTTTCTCTGTCATAATGGTAAAATAACGTGAACAAGTATTTTTTATTTTTTAAGTAGAACGCACCCGTTGACAGCAGTGTTCAAAGTAAATATAAATATAACTTTTAAAATAGGTTGCCAGGCAACGAAACATATGCCCACAGCAGCTAAATCGTCCGGGCCGCCAACAAGTAATTATCGGACGCTCTAGAGGCCAAAGTTAATATCCGATTGACTTTAAATTTATAATCAGATTTTAGTGTATTATAAATGTTTCATTACCGAAAATTAAAAATATGCGACAACTCTTGTTGGCGGCCCGGACGATTTAGCTGCTGTGGGCATATGTTTCGTTGCCTGGCAACCTATTTTAAAAGTTATATTTATATTTACTTTGAACACTGCTGTCAACGGGTGCGTTCTACTTAAAAAATAAAAAATACTTGTTCACGTTATTTTACCATTATGACAGAGAAAAGTCATAATTTGTGTGAAACTGACTTTTTAATATTATTTATAAATTATAGTAATAGAAAATCAATAGGATTCTTCGTCTCAAGACCTTAAACACTGTGTATAAATTTAAAGTCAATCGGATATTAACTTTAGCCTCTAGAGCGTCGACAAGCAATTGTGGACGCCGGACGGACGGGGGCGACAACAATATAGGACCACATTTAAATGTGGGCGTATAAAAAAGAAATATCGCTCCAAATGATCGTTACTTCATCGCTATCGGCATTTGATATTTCTGCTTTGTATATATGGCGGGAATTGTCGTCTTCTTTGCTTCATTGCGTTGAAAATAAAAATACATAGTTGAAATCTTCGACAATGTAATATTCCTCTATGTAGATTGTATCAAACCCTAAAAGTTTTGATTCAATTTAGCTTTCCAAAGTCTAGAATTATTATCTGTAAGTTTTGTGGTATTGTCTGTCTGGAAGCGTGTCCAAGATGGCGGCCGCACTTGATCTCGGCTGGAGTATACGTATTCTTCGCATCATAACATCAAAAAATATATAAATAGTTGATTGCTTCAACATTATCATATTCCACGATATGTCTGGCAATAAAACATAAAAAATCTGATTCCATTTCACTCTCCATACATTCCTTTTCATTGGGTGTTTTATTTTTATTACTCAATCACCATTAATTTAAGAAATAAAAACAATAGAAATCAGTTGATTGATCTGGCACTTTTGTTTGCTAATGCAGTTGCCAAGTATGATAGGTCCGCCAGTCATTCTCTACTGCCAAATGACAGGTGCGAAGTAATTCACACTCGTCAAAAATGGGCTAAAATTTTAGAGTTTTTATGAGCAGCACAACCAATTGCATGTTGTCTCTCCTGGGTGGTATGATAACTCTAATCACCACATATATTTTATCATATCAATAACCATAAGCAACCGATATTTATAAAAACATCACATCATCAGCTTTTGATTTTATAAATGAGTTCTTATCTAGTAGAGAATGAGTATTGTCTGTCAAATGGGTGTTCTGTAGAGTTTCAAACTAAGACAGCTATCACCAGTGGGGTTGAAGTTACAATCTACACACAGCACTCAAGCTGTCACGAATTATAAAGTATCCAGTTAGTGGCAACACAAATTAAACTAATATGGTTAATAGGGTCACTTATTCCCCCTACCACTCCTCACTACCCTACCCATTCCCAAAACTATTTTTAACTGAAAATATGTCTACTGGTAATAATAACCAGGAAAAATAAAATGGTAGAACCAAAGTAGACCTTGTATATTTACATGTAGTCCACATCAAAGACCACTCGAGGGAATCACAGATGCATAGAACTTGCAAAAAACAATTCAAGTAGACATGCAATTCAAATCACTAACTATTGATTCTATGACAATAAAAGTTAATTTAATTTAATGGTAGTTTTGATGTATTACTTAACAGACTTAAAGGAGCTAAATCTCTATTCTTTGGCACCTAGAAATGGACACAAATGGGTTGCAACGCATTTAATAATGTAATATGAATTTTTATAAACTGATTTACATCCAATCGTTTCTGTTTATACTGTAACTTCTAATCAGTTATGTTCGGCAAAATACACGAAGAGTGCATATTGAGTGCATATGTTAAGCCTCGTTCATCGAGTCACTTTATTACAAATGGCGATAGGAAAAATTCTGGCACGTGATTCGTGAGCCAAGTTTAAAATTTTAATTGTGCCTTAAATTTTCGATACCAGAAGCCAATCTTTTCACTGTAAGATAACAACATCAACGTTGATTTAAATTGACCAATAAGTCGTGTTTGCAATGTCGAAGATTGTGGATGATACTGAGTTAAAGATTTTAAATGTAATTGCAGTCCTGTCTCTCAACAGAACATATATATCTTTAAAAGATACTACATGTAACTCATGCACATGTACCAATCAAATTATGGAAGAGAGCCATTAAACATCAAACTTTATCAACATTTCTGATGATACATGTAACTCCTATAAATTCCAAACAAATAAAATCTCAATTATAAAGAAACAGCAAAAAAAACCCTAAAAATATCAGACAATAATGGATTTATAACTGACAATAACATAGATTAAACAAACATTGAAAATCCATTCAATATAGAATTATTGTCTATGACATTTAAAATATCTCTTCATGCAAGAATATTAAAGTCTACATTAAAGTGACAGTCCCTCTAATTAAGTCATTAATCCACAATACATAATAATATGGGAGAAGTCCTTTATGCTGATCTCACATTTCTTGAATTTCAAACAAATGAACATGCAGTGGATTCATTATTGAAAAATCTAAGAAACTGCTAGACAACAACTGCAAGATAAATGTCAAGTTTCTGCCTTAACCCTGTTTTACCAACTATGCCAAAAAACAAACCACTGAGTATCTGGCTACCAAAAATCAGCAGATATTCAATCATCAATCACTTGTGGTTGATGAATTACTTAATGACTTAATTTTAAAGAGACAGTCACTTAAGTACATGGTTATGATTGTATACACAAGTTGGTGAAATTGGGTACTGTATATGCATGCTTCAAATGCTTCAATTGATTAATAATATTCTCTTTGGTCATAAGTCATGACATCAGTTTACTTTGCCTGCTGGTTATATTAGTGAGTACTTACTAAAGTCAACTGAGCAAATAAACCAATCTTCAATGTCATGATTTCATGGCAGACATTCATTAGTTAGCTGGAAGGTTAAATGTGTTGTCTTTGCTACAGTGTGTTATATTAATCATTTCACATATTTTAAATGTCCTAATCAGACTAAAGGGAATATGGATTTGATAGCTCTGAGACTGAACCAACCAGCAAAATCCAGATTTGTAAGGGAGGATGAGTTAATGATCAAAAACTTGCTTTTCCAAATTTTTTTTTTTTTCAACAACTGACATTTCCATTATAATTTTGTTTCTATGGTTTAAATCCCAGAATATTTGATATCATACTGTCTACACAGTATTAAGACTCTACAGTCGTGGCCAAAAGAATAGGACCACGCTTGAAAATGGTTGGATTTCTTTTCTTACATGTAAATTCATTTGATCATATATCTGCCACCTGAAGACCGATTTTCACAAATGAGGTATCAATGGATAGGTTATGCTTAGTATGTCCATTACGCGTGCACATGCATGTTTGAATGATGACGTCATCACAGCTATGACGTCATCAACGAATAGGAGCACGCTTGAAAATGATTGGATTTCTTACGTGTAAATTCATTTTATCATTCGGTTAAGGACCATTTATTTCATTTCTAAATGATAAGTTAACATGCAAATTAACATCAGTAACGATTAGTAGTAAATACTTTGTGTGTTCCCTGGCATTGGCGATGACTGCTGCCATGCGTTTCAGCATGCTTTCTATCAGCCCATTGCAGTAGTCTCTCGATATGATAATCCACACCTGTTTGATGGCATCTTACAGGCTCTTTGCACTAGATGGATGGGGGTCTGCTACTTTAATTGTCCTGAAGTACTGTCCATAAGTTTTTAATTTGGTTGAGGTCCTTGACTGAATTAAATCTGTTTGATAATAATTTTCTACCACCATCCCGATGTTGCTAGCTGCTAAATCGTTGGTACAATGTGACGTCATATCCATGATGACGTCATTGTTCAATCATGCATGTGCATGCGTAATGAACATACTAAGCATATCCTATCCATTGATACCTCATTTGTGAAAATCGGTCCTCAGGTGGCAGATATATGATCAAATGAATTTGTATGTAAGAAATCCAACCATTTTCAAGCGTGGTCCTATTCTTTTGGCCACGACTGTACATCAAGAGCATTATTGAGTAGTGCCAATGGCCATTGTATTAATCATTTTTTGATGAGTAAAGTTACAGGTTGCATTATACATCTCTATTTAGAGTCGAGTTTTTTTTATCAAAAGTGTTATAGGTGCAATCATGTCTGACTTTAGCCGACTAAATCACAGGATGTTGTACATACTCTTGAATTTGTCACTTAAAAAAGCGGAGTTTGAATGTGAAGATTATTGATTCTTTTCAACTAGTCTGGAATTGCTATCACCTACACGCAACACTTAATAATAAACCGTCTTTTAAAATAGTATACAGTATATAAAAAGGTTTTTGAAAGCGTGTACTTACATCACTGTCAGGTCCATGATCAACTCCAGGACACTGGAAGGAGACAAACTCATGACATCTCTTGTGAACCACAAAACTACAAACTAAAATTTAGAAAAAACATAGATTATTGTTATTCAAACAACATAGAATCTATTGAAGTCAGCTATGAAATTAATTCTTCTGGGTTTTTCGACAGTTGGTAAAAAAAAAAATAATTCATAATTTCACTACAGTTACATTGTGCATATTCAAGTTAGACTGTATGCAAAACTGATACCAATCCGCCAAGTCATCACTGAGGCATACCAGTACATATTTCAACTTTCAATTTGCAAGTCATATAAATCATTTAGTGCTTTAATTTGCATACATAAAGATTTGACATTATTCAATATTAATTACATTGTTTAGGATAAAGTGATAATGAGTGTATAAACTTGATATAAATCTAATGCCTAACCCCAAAATACTTTTTGAAAAATAATGACATCACTATCAGATACGAGTTTGTATGAAATTGTGGATACAGTATATACAGAAATGTTCCGTCATTTGTTATTTTGTATAAATGTATATTCCAGTGTTGAGATTTCAAAAAAAAATTTGTCAGACATTTTTACTGAAAGTAAAGGAATATAACTCTTATCGTTATTTAAGCAGGCAGTTTCAGACCACACATAAAAATCACGAGTCAACAAAATATTCAAATTCGTACATAATAAAAAAAATAGGTGCACCTCTTTATAATTCATATTTAATTCCTGTGCGGTATTCAAATTTATGTCAGTAATATTCCTAAAAAATTATGTGTTGTCATAATACGATAAAATGAAAGCATGCCGACTACTGCCGACCCATACTTTTTATCAAATTCATGCCAATAATATTCCTCCAAAATTACAGTATTTTTCGAGGATTAAGTCAACACTTTTTTCAGCAGAAGTCTGGCATTTGTCTTGTACTCCGTTTCGACTTATATATGGATGTAGGTAAAAAAAATTTGGGGGGCAGTAACAGTCGCTCCATGATACAGAGTCAGTGACATCATCTGCTAAATAATAGCGCTCAACTCTGATCGCACCCGCTATCTTTGAAAACAATTACCTACTTACATGATTTCTATCGAAATATTTATTAACATTTCTCAGCTTCTTTATTTCCTTTTTGAAAAACATAAACCTCATTCAAAATAGTATCATAAACCCGAGAATATGCATCAAAATAGAATTTTTTCTCTGACATTTTCCATATGATAATTGTCACATTTACATCTCTCGTAATTTCACTCGTCTCGCGAGATTTCTACTTTAGCTTTCAGTTATTGTATTATAACCGTCTGTGTGTGCGTGACAAGTTAACAGATATATGAGGATATGCGACATATATGACTAGTTTCTACATGTAATCGACAGACATCAAGGAGATTAAAATGTCTGACAATGGAGAAACCTTGGGTTAATCATGTGGATTAAGTTTATAATCACTCTTTCTGGATTGATACAGAGTCTTCTGTTCAGGATTGGATTGATGAATTGTCCAACAAAGGATTAAGTCAGTTAATCAAGGCAGATTAAGTAGTTAATGAAGGTAGGTGTATAGACAGTATCTCAAGGTAAATATGTTGATCTCTTAATTACTAAATCAATCTAGCCTATTATCAATGATAATCGGGTAGATATACACTCAGTACACTATATTAATTTTGGAATTTTGAATATTATTCACCATGCCTTGATGTCCGACTGGGTATATTCCTGGTCGGACGATTTAGGATGTTTGGAAAATAGCGTCGGAAATGTTCAGAATATACGGGGGAATCCCATCACTTGTATATTCCCACAAGAATAAAACTCGATAAATTTGAACAATGTCATTGTATGGTATCAAATTAAATTATACCAGTGAAATATAAAATACAGTAAACCTTGCATAAGTCGGATCTTTGCTCAACTCGGATAAAATCATTTGGACCCTTTGATCCTGCACGTTTTTCTTATTAAATTTATGTGCGTAAGTTGGACTTCCTAAGTCAGTTCTTCGCTCAACTCGGATCAAAATGTTCGGTCCATATGATCTAATTCCGGCTTTTTTCCTTCGGATCGGTAGTACATGTATGTTCAGAATTTGACTAATTCAGCTTCGCCTTGATGGTCTAAAACACGGTTAGTTATTCCATGCACAGAGCCCCAAAATACTTTTCCAGCCCCAAAATACTTTTCCCCTATCATTTTGACTTAAATCAGCCTATTTGACGCGACACAATAATAGAATTTTCAAAGAAAATTCGAAACTTGCTGTCTGCTGTACGAGACACATTCCGGGAAAATTTAGGACATTTTTCAAAGATGGCAACAAAACGGAAGTTATCTACGCACCAAAACAGAAGTTATCTACTTGCACATATGAATAAAAAGCTTGAAATGTGCCTTTGAATCATTTTCTATCCGTCTTTTGCAGTTTATTTCTAATCGAGCTAAGATTGAATTTCGGTCTTCAGCTAACTCAGACCTTCCCTTAACTCTGATAAATTTGGTCAGTACACTTAAAGACCGGAGGCTCGGTGCCAGGAGGGGGGTAGGTCCATCAAATAGGCACAAAATTTTACTCTAGAAAAGTTGGGTCTGGTTTTGGGCCCATTTGATTCGACACCCCTCCGTGCTGAGCCTCCAGACTATTAGATCCGACTTATGCGAAGTTTACTGTACAGTTTACAAAAGAAAACGTAAAATAAATGGAAACAAGCCAACAGTGAGGCTGATGTACCCCGCTGGAATCTCAAAATAAGTAGATGACACATATTAATCAATATCACATTTATTATTTTTAAAAGTATCAAGCAATCAAACTGATTATCAACTATACATGTACACTAAGTTTCATCACTCTCTATCAGATAGAATCAAAGTTATCTTGTCCCAAAGCATCGACCAATGAAATTGCTTAGCTCTGCTTACCATTAGCATTAGCTCGAAATGTTAATCAATGAACTCAGTCAAGACATTCACCTAATGAACATCTACATCAAGTTTAAACATTATACCTCAAAAGCAGAGTTGTTATGTTCCAAAGTCTTGACCAATGAAATTGCTTATCGCTCCTTAGCCTAAGCAGAAAATTCTCATCATCAAGGTAAATGATATAATGAATCTATACTCAGAGTTTAATCATTCTCACTTAATTAAAACTAAAGTTATCGTGCCCCAAAGCATCAACCAGTCAGATTGCTTATCTCTGCTTACCGTAAGCAGACAATGTTCATCATCGAACTCCATCGAGGCATTCACCTATTGAACGCCTACACTAAGTTTGAACATTCTACCTCAATTAAAAGGAGAGTTATTGTGTTCCAAAGTCTCTACCAATCAAATTGCTTATCCCTCTGCCGACTTAGAACTGATAGCTGTTACACTTAACACCTGACTGTTAATTTATTTATCATATGATCAACAAAATGGCAAATACCTTAGAAGACACACCCCAAAGGAATGGCAGGTCTTGCCACAATGCTATTACAACATTATTGTCGACATCAACATTTAAAAAGTGGATGCCGATTGGTTAGCGTATGCGCGTTGTATCATCATAAGGTCTGTCATTGAGTCATATGGCGTGGTTTCGATTCCCCAGTTGTACGTGACAAAGAGCAAGATTGCCTATTCAACCTCATGGGTTTTTTCCGGGTCCTCCGGCTTCCTCCCACTGCTAAAGACCCCTACGTGCAAGCGAATTATTGAAATAAAATTGCACCATATGTTAGTCCCGAAATGTCCTAGTTTGTGTGAGTGGGGGTCTCTCTCTCTCTCTCTCCCAAGTTGCAGAAAGTTTAATCTTTGTCAGTTGAAGTCAGTTGAGGCAAGTTGCCGAAAGTCAAATAGCTCACAGCTGAAAGGTAGACATAAGCTAAGCCTGGCTTTTAAAATATACAATACAGTATAATCCGAAGGATGTAACTGACAGTATTATTTTTTAAGAAAACAAGTTCACAACCTGGTCAAAATTCTATTTATACCATTATAGATAATATCTTTGTTATATTAAATTTTAGTGAACATATTGATTGCATCATATCTTTACTTTTCATAAGCTGTAAATATAAAGATAAGGCATAACATGTTACACTTCTATATACCTCCACCTGACAAATTACTGATAAATACCTAACATTTATTACTATATATCTATGGAGTCACCATATCTGTAATTATCCTCCAATGATAAAACAAGCCAACAGTGAGGCTGATGTCCCCCACCGAAATCCCAAAATAAATAGATGACACATATTAATTAATTGCACATTTATTTTTTTCAAAAGTATCAAGCAATAAACCTATACACTAAGTTTCATCACTCTATATCAGATAGAATCAAGATTATCTTGTCCCAAAGCATTGACGAATGAACGCCTACACCAAGTTTAAACATTCTACCTCAATTAGAAGGAGAGTTATTGTGTTCCAAAGTCTCGACCAATCAAATGGCTTATCGGCTCTGCTTACCCTCAACAGAAAATGTTCATTATCGAACTTAGTCAAGGTATTGATGTAATAAAGCTATACATCAAGTATCCTCACTTAATTAGAACTAAAGTTATCTTGTCCCAAGGCATCAACGCAATCAATTTGCTTATCTCTGCTTACCCTAAGCAGAAAATTCTCATCTTCGAACTCCATCAAGGCATTTACCAAATAGACACCTACACCAAGTGTGAACATCTTAACTCAATTAGAATGAGAGTTATTGTGTTCCAAAGTCTTGACCAATCAAATTGCTTATCCCTCTGCTTACCCTGAGCAGAAAATGTTCATTATCGAACTTCATCACGGTATTGATGTAATAAAATTATATACCAAGTTTCATCACTCTCACTTAATTAAAACTAAAGTTATCGGGTCCCAAAGCATCAACCAATCAAATTTCTTATCTCTGTATACGGCCTTAAAGATACTTTCACATGCATACAAACTATTTGATTTGATGATAGATTTGGACTAAAAACATATTCAAACTAATCAATCCATCAAAAACTTGCTTCAATTCCCTCTCAAACCTTTACATTCGCCGGGGGATACCTATAGCTATAAATAAACTATTGTTGGACGCC